TTGGGATTCCCAAGGATTCATCCTGCTAGATGTTCTCGAAGGACACAGGAGTCACGGGGGCTTATAATGAAAACATTTTAAGATAATGTAAAACAGTGAGAAAAGTCCAGGAAAAATTTTCCATTATATCAAGGGTTGTCCTATGAAAATATCATTGAGAATCCTTACTCCATCCATCCTACAGCCCTGATCTTGCCCTTACAGACATCTTTTTGCGCCCAGAACACTGACAAGGAACATGATTCGGATCCTTTGAGGACTCCTAAGCTGCCATCTTGGTGTGGTATCGATCAGTGGATAGAATTTTCTGGAGAAGGGCTCGAATGATGGAAACACTGCCTTCAGAAGAGAATATGATGAGAACTAATAACTTAATACTTTAATATTCTTATTTAATACAGTTTTCTATGATTTTGTAGCAATACTTTTGTACTTATCCTTATATTTGAATATGGATACTAAATTTTCTGCCAGCCTGTTACTTTTGTTTTGTGGAACATTTGTTGATTTTGATGTAGTCATATATTTTCATTTATGCCTCTTGGGTAGTTCTTAGAAGTTCATTTTTATTCCCATGCTCTCCTACATTAAAGAAATCATTTGAAAATAGTTAACTCTTTAATCCACATGGAAATTAATTTGTGAATGGTGGGAGATAGACATTAACCTGTCAGATGAATACCTAAGAACTACTTATTAGCCTCTCTCAAGTGACTTGAAATGCCACCTTTTTCATACATTCAGTTTCCATATCTACATGAGACTGTGAATTTTCTCTTCTATTCCACTGTTTACGCGTATCTCAATATCATACAGATTAAACAATATTTTATAATGTTTTTGTTATAGAGGACGTCCCATGCCATTATTTATTTTATAATTAAAAAGGGTAAAAAATATATCCTTCATTGGTTAACTTTCTGACTCTATCTACCTTCTTCCTTAAGTTCTAGACATCAGAGAGGTAAAAAGGAAATTATCCAGAGGCAAGACAAAGAATGTGGAAAATGAGAAAAAAGGAGACTGGGAAAAAATAAAAATCAAAACACTTTCAAAATAGTATTTTCCTCTAGGGGTTAGACCACATACAAAATAAGGCATACTTTGTGTTCTGTCTAAACCACTGTCTAAAATTTAGGCTCTAAATCAAAGCCTTCTTTTAATGCTGGACAATTACTAACAGTAGGGACCATGTCAACATAAAGTGGGAAATAAAGACACAAATCAATGAGATAAAAGGACATGGACTAGAGAGAATGAAGAACATGATGAGAGGCTCTTAGATGTTTCTTATGGACTCAAATTTCAGGAAATTAAAGCGCTGAGCTTAGTGTAGCCAATAGTATCCTGGTTCTTTCTGCTAGTGCTATTTATAGGTGCATAATATTTTGTGTGGTTTACAACCTGTTCCCATGGCGTTGGCTCCAACTCACAGTGACCCTATCAGACAGAGGAAGGCTGCTGCCTAGGGTTCCCAAAGGTGTAATTTTTGCAGAAACATATCACCACTTCTTTCCCCCACAGAGTGGTTGGTGGGTCCGAACCGCCTGCCTGGAAGTTAGCAAGGTTAGCAGCAAGGCTGGCGAACCAATATGCAGCCTGGGTTCCCTGCACAGATTCCAGCAAGGGCCAGTTCTTTACTTGAGAATTGAAATGGCAGGGAAAGGAAAAGTATTATTAGGGATTACAGTAATTAGTAACTGAAAATTTCATTTTAATTGGAGGTTGGTAAGCATTAAAAAGAGAATTGAAAAAAAAGAATTGAGCAAATAAGAGTGTGTAGGAAAATATTGCAGCTAAAGAGTATAATCATACATAACCATTGTGCACAATATGGCTATATTCAAGGTTGTCTCTATTTTTTTATAGTAAAACTAGCTTTATACAGCAGGTAAAGCTGTCATGTGGGCAAGTGTGGTTTTAAGTCACTAGTTAATTAAATTGTTTGAATGAATTTTCGTTCCTGATTGAAAAGATAAGGCATGGTGATTGGCAAAAGATTTGTGTTCCCGGCAAGGTGACCAGCGTGTCAGGCCTCAGTAAACAGTAATAGGCAATAATAAAGTCCTCTAATAGCCATTCAAACAGGAATATCCTCATTTTGTACAGAGCCAAACTGTGACTACTTTAATTTACTGATCTTTAAAACAACTCAGCATTTTATAATTATTTTTTCTTAATGTTTGTAGAAAACAAAAAACCAACAGCAACACTGTTAGCAAGTAGAATCTAACTACTACCAACCCTATTGGACATAGTAGAACTGCCCCACTGGATTATCAAAGCTGGCAAAGTAGAGGGTTAAGTATTGAGGTCGACAGGTGTAAAAGGTGAGGGGGTTTATTCCCATAAGATTTATAGTCTCTGAAATGCACAGGGGCAATTCTAGCCTGTGCTATAGGGTGGTGCTATGAGTCTCAAACCCAGTAAGTTTGAGCTTTAAAAACAAACAAACAAAACCTTGCTAAATCAATACAAAAATGCAAACAAACTCACTGGCATCGAGTCAATGCTGACCCTATAGGACAGGGTAGAACTCCCCTGTGAGTTTCTGAGACGGTAACTCTTTTTTTTTTTAATCATTTTATTAGGGGCTCATACAACTCTTATCACATTCCATACATACATGAATTGTGTAAAGCACATTTGTACATTCATTGCCCTCATCATTCTCAAAACACTTCCTCTCCACTTAAGCCCCCCGCATTAGGTCCTCATTTTTCCCCTCCCTCCTCGCTGCCCACTCCCTCATGAGCCCTTGATAATTTCTAAATTGTTATTTTGTCATATCTTGCCCTGACTGATGTCTCCCTTCACCCACTTTTCGGTTGTCCGTCCCCCAGGGAGGAGGTCACATA